AGAGTGCTTGCCTTGCATGCATGAGGCCCTGGGTTCGATTCCTCAGCACCATATAAGCAAAAAGTAAAAAGCAGGAAGTGGCGCTGTGGCTCAATTGGTAGAGTGCTAACCTTGAGCTGAAAAGCTGAGGGACAGTGCCCAGACCCAGAGTTCAGGCCCCACGACTGGACCCAAAAAAGAAAAAAAGAAATATTCAAGAATATACTACTAAATATAACTATACTCAGTACAATAAATAAGTTATCAGCATTTCAGTGGAGTAAAGTTTTTAAAGTGTTCTATTACCATGCTAGTGTATCATTATGCATGAAGACAGACACCATCATCCCAGAGTTAAGAATAACTTCATATTTTCATGTAGTTGTATAAATAAATCTGTTACATATAATCATTGATAGGTCATGAAGAAGATATTAGGTATGAATCTATTTTTTAGCCAAGCAAGGAAGTTATACACCTTAAGTCTTGATTACTCAAGAGGCTGAGACAATACGGAGAAAACTTGAGTGTGTAAGTTCTAGACCATCCTGGGCATAATTGTGATTTTATCTAAAAAAAATAACTCTAGTTTTTCTTTCCCTAAATCAAAATATAGAAGAAAACTTATAAAATCTGAGAGTTGTATACAGTTTCAGTAAGCATGTGAGTACTTTCAGATTTAGAGGATGTATAAATCCTGAACATATTGAATTGGCCACCATAGTTTTCTAATCTACACATTTCTATTTGGGTATAATCTAAGTTAGGGAAATTGTACCAGCACTCAGGGAAAGCTATTACTACATTATTCATACCATTATCTAATGAAGTAACTAAAATGTATTAAAAAGTAATGAATCTGGAAGGCTTTAACAGAGTTCTATTTGTAGACTGACATACCATTCAAGACAAAAGAGAAAATGCTATAAAAATTAAAGTCCATTTACCTTATGTTGTAACTACTTTTTACTACAGAAACAGTCATTACTTCAGAATAAGTTATGTTATGAAAACTATGTGCAGGGCGGGGGGGGGGAGGAATGGGTGGGGGGATAGGGGGAGGATGGGAAGGGATGGGAAGGAGAAACAAAGGAGGTTACAATGCTTGATAAGAAATGTACTCATTATCTTGCCCATGTAATTGTAACCCTTCTGTTCAGTATTTTCACAATAAAAAAGAAAACTATGTTACTGATATTAAATGTATCAATAACACAAAAAATCTTAGAGGAATATATTATTCTTCTAGTTTATAGAGATGGAAACATGGAAGTAATACACCTGTTAGGATAGGTGATAAATAGTAGATCTAAGTTTCACACACAGATACGATTTCAGAAAAAATATTCAGACTCTTAAAACAGCATCTGCCAAAGCTCATGCCACAGGAAATAATATGCTGGGCAAAAAATGAATAATAATAGACTTTATGAAAGAATAAGTTGTGAAAAACCTAAATGATGGCTAAAAAATAGCATATTTTATTATTCAAGTTAACATAAATGGATCAAAATGAAAACATCCATAGCATGTAAAAATTCACCCATAGTTTGTGAGAAGCTGCTATGCTAATTGCCATATTGGTAGTGTGAAGTAAGTTTCAAAGACATTTCTATTGATAAATAAACTACAATACTAAATCACTCAAAAATAATGATTTACAAATTGATATTAGCATTTGAAAGGTAATTAAGGGTAACAATCTAAATGTTAGCAAAAACTTTTTTCTCAAGTTTTCAATAATTGTTGCAAAACCAGCTCTTGCCTGAGAAAAAAATCAAATTGCTTTAATTGCTTTTTAATAGCTCTTCTCAAGAATTAGGAAATTGTATACAAATAAAATCATGTGACAATTTCACAGACTATCATCCTTTGGCATTTTATTTTAAAATATAATTTATTTTCATCTTTTGATATATATATATATCAAAGTCTTAATTTATATACATATATATATATATATATATATATGGTAGGCAATGTATACTCTGCCTCTCCAACATGACCTCTGTTTCTATCCACCCAAAGTATCAGTTTTCTGCCCAATCTCTTTAGTGAGGTACCATCTTAAACATTTTAAGAAGACAGTGAGCTTAGTGGTAAAGGCATTCATAGCATTGTGCTGCCAGCATCCTCATCTATCTCCAGAATATGTATCCTGTAACATTCAGACTCTATGCCGACTAAACACTAGGTCTCCATTTCTCCCTTCCCCCATGCTTACATGTCATTTACTTTCAGTATGTATAAATTTGACTTCTTTAAGTATAATCTACGAATCCATTTTAATTTGTTTTGCTTAACATGATATCCTCAAGATTCATCCATGTTGTAAAATCCGCTACAAGTTTCTTACCTTCCCTTCTGCTCTCCCCATTTCTTTTCTTCTTTCTTTGGCCTTTTCCTTTTCCTTCTTCTTCTACTTTGCATGATTTCTAACAAAGGATCATTTTAGGTAAGCACTCTACCACTAAACTACACCCTGAGCTTATTTTCTGAGATAAGATCTTGCTATTTAGTCCACGCTGGCCAAGAACTATATAAATATATATCACAGGTATTTCAAACTCACAGTCCAGCTCTACCTCTCCAGTGCTAGGAATATAAGCATGCATCATGACGCCCAGCAGAAATTTCTTCTTTTTAAATGTCGATATTATTATAGGTTGTATATTTACATATCTACTGATAGACACCTAGATTGTTTCCATGTTTTATTTGTTGTTAATAGTATGTACTTATGTATAGTAATACAAATAGATTTTCAAAATTCTGCCATCAGCTCTATGAGGTATACAACCAGATGTTTGTTATATCACATGATAATTTTATTTATTATTTTAGGAAATGCCATATTGTTTTTTACAAAGTCTACAATAGCAAATAAGGGTCTAATCAGTCCCACCTCAATAACTTTCTAATATAATCCACCAGTGTTGATTAATATTTCCTTAATGATTATTAAAGTTAAGCATATTTCCTTGTGCTTGCTACCCATTGGAAAATCTTCTTTTGAAAAATGTCTACTTCAGCCTATTTTGAATTATTTCTTTATCATTTACTTTTAGGTATATGTTTGGATTAAAGATTTCCAGACAAAAAATGATTTCCCCATATTCACAATACTTATTCTCTAATTCAGAAATAAAGTTTACATTGTAAGAATGATTTTAAGTAAATCTATTAACTCAACCCTACAGAAATAGTATATGAAAAGATAGGGATGATAGATGCATCCTCATCACCATATCCCCACTTAACTTAATTTGAGCTTAGTGGAAAATAGATCAATCTTCAAAAATAAAAATGTACTACTTTACTTCTAATAAGGTAAAGTATAAATTTTAGCAAATATTCTAGGTGACATATTTATTTACAGGACTGTCAATGCATTATAGCAACATGGTTATAAATCCCCTTGTTAATAGTAATGAAATACCATAAAAATGTTTCTGAAGAAAGAAAATGCAGTTTTCAGTAAAAGAAATATAATAATTTTCTAACAACAATGGAAGTAATTGCAGACAATCTAACACATTAGTTGACCATAATGTGAAACATACTGCCAGACAGAAAAGGGGAAAATATTAGTGAAAGCATAATTATATTCACTTAAAGCAGTATCTTCCAACACAATTCACAGATAAGCATGAAGCCCATGTATTCACAGAAATAGAAGAGGTAGTCGTCATCCTTCCTTCTGAAAGCCACCCTGCAGAAACTTTACTTCTTTGCCTTAGTAACCTTTGACTCCTCCACTAGATCACTTCAGTAGAATGGGAAGAATGCTTCCTTCCACCAAGGCACAATGGAAATGTACCAACAAATTGAATGTAAGACTGCATCTATGACTACTGGATTTCTCTGCCAGTTTGCTCTCAACTATTTCGTAAAAAAATGGATTGCTGCTAAATAGTAACTGGAGAGGATCATTTAGAACCAAGCAAAAAATCATGTTGAAAACAAATGTCAATCTAAGATGATAGAACCACTTACATACGCAGACTTTTCAGGATTGAAGATATGGGTCAATTAACCAGGTAAAGAAATTCAGTCAGTCACAATGCTAGCTAAACATGGCTAACAGTGAGTGAGAATTAAGAGGAGCAAATCGAATATGCATCATACCTAGAAATATACTGTTGAGCTCTGACTATTCTACAAATATTTTATTTCATTTTCCCCTGCTCTAATATAATGTGTTAGAACTTGTTGCTCCTATATTCATATGGCTTCTGTGGCTTCATCTCCTCCTAGAGAGCTCCTTCTTCAGGTATAAACTCCTACCCAATGGCCTAGGATCTGAATTCTGGTAGTACTTGTTGCCCTATTATGTTTCCAAAATGAAATGTGTTGGTAATGTCTTGGAATTATTCAACTCTGCGCTGTGTCATAGCTGTCTTCTGAGCGCTTAACCTGCTCTAAAACCTACAAAACTAGAACCACTTCATTAGTCACTGTGCCCCAAAATATCTAAAATTGTTTTGGTTTTTTTGCTAAAATTCTGGCTGTTTTTCTAAGTATCTGGATGAAGAGGCAAAACATCAGAAAAATTCATTGAACAACTATTTTGGACCTGTAAAAGCAGAAAAGTAATTCTCCTGTATTTATTCTTCCCTTTTATAAAAAACAAAATAAAACAAAACAAAAAAACCTGTATGATGATGCTTTTGTATATAAACTAAAATTGCCCCCTAAAGAACATGGATAGAAGCTGGGTACTGGTGGCTTACGCCTGTAATCACAACTACTCAGGAGGCTGAAATCTGAGGATCACGGTTCAAAACTAACCCAGGCAGGAAAGTCTATGAGACTCTTATCTCCAATCAACCACCAGAAAACCAGAAATGGTACTGTGACTCAAGAGGTAGAGTACTCACCTTGAGCTGAAGAAAGAGCTAAGGGACAGTGCCCAGCCCCAGAGTTCAAGCCCCATGACCAATACCCCCCGCTCCAAAAATAGAAAGAAAATGGATAGACTATGTGGAATGATATAAACGTACAGAAGTCAGACTACATACCTTCTTCACCTCTGGAAAAATCTGGCACTTTACCATCTGGGAAGGTGCGGTAGGCTATAAGGAAAAAGTAGGAAAGAAAAAATATAATAAAATTACAAATAAAGTAAAATATTATACAAATAAAGTAAAATATACTAATGTATTTCCACCCTAAAGTTCGTACTTGTCCCCATTTACAGCCAAGGTTAATGTGGCATTGTGCTCAGTCTCTCTGTGGCTGTGTCACAGGGTCTCTGACACATGTACTTTCACTGACCTGCAGAGTGCAGATCCCATTCTGACATCCAGCAAAAAAGAAGATACATGTGAGTCAGGAATTGTGATTATGACACAGAAGTGAATATCTTTAATAACAAGCCAGAGACTGTTTTATAAACTAATCTAGTTTCTATTGCATTAATATGAATTCTGACAAAGGATCACTAATCATTTGAAAGAAAAACTATTAACAACATGAAATGACATGAAACAATGCAGAACAAGAGACTAAAGAAAAATAGAGAAGGAAATTCAGGAACAGAAAGTTATCTTTTTTCTTTTTTCTTTATTTTTTTTGTCTGTCTTGGGGCTTGAACTCTGGACCTAGGCACTGTTCCTGAGCTCTCTGGCTCAAGGCTAGTGCTCTACCACTTGAGCCACAGCCCCACTTCTGGTTTTTTTCTGCTTATGTGGTGCTGAGGAATCAAACCCATGGCCTCATGCATGCGAAGCAAGCACTCTACCATTGAGCCATCTTCCCAACCTCTCTTAGAGAAAAGAACAATTGGAGAACACAAGATAAAGATTTTCAAAATACAAACAAACAACTTGACAATGATAAGTTGGATAACATCATTTCCAAACAAGCACTTGGAAAGCAAGTTTGAAAGGACACAGCAGATGTAAAACAAAGAGACAGAAATACAGAAGAAAAATTAAGGTTTGTGAAACACTGATTTATACAAGTCAAAATGTATGTATTAGGATTTCAAAATGAGTATAAAGAAATATTAGATTCAAATAAATAATAGAAAAACAAATTTTCTAATCTAAAGGAACACACCAGTCCTAAGATGGCAATGTTTTAATGTGAGGGATGAAAAGACACATACAAATGATTTCTTCTGACTAAATTCTACTGAACTTTACAACTCTCTTCAAGCAGTAAAAGAAATAAAAATTCACCAAATCACCTAAAGAAAGATGGGGATATTAATTTGGAAGTTTCAAAGAAGTATCAAGATCCATTGCTTCCTATATCAAAAGATAATAAACCACTTGCAAAATTTAAAGGATTTACTAATAATAGTTGACTTTTAAAAAGTGTTTGCACATATAAAATATATACAAAAGTAAAGAGGATAGAAATGAGATGTATATGTGAGAATTTCATAGTGTGAAACACTGTTTGTGGCCCTCTAAAAGGTGACCTTCCCCTCTTTCTTTCCAGGGTGATATTTGTAATTTGTAATAACAGAAATCACAGTCTGAATTAGTGTCTAATTTCCATTTTATGCCAGGAAAGTAACAACCTTACTATGGATGAAATCATATTTCCCTTCCAACAGTGGCACTAGAATGTTGCATCAGGAAATCTGGCCTAAAATTGTTTCTTTTCTCTTTTTTTATCCAGTGGTTTGCTCCTGTAAACCCAGCTATTCAGGAAAGAAAGATCAAGAGAATTACTGTTCAAAGCCAGCCTGGGCAATATGTTGAAAAATCCCATTCTTAATCAATAAACCAAGCTCCTATCATCTTAGCAATGCAGAAATGTTGGAAGTCTGAATCCAGAAAGAAGCAAAATTTTGAGACAAGTGAAAAATACCATGTTGTAAAAAAATTAAAAGCAGCTAGAGCATGACTTAAGAGTCAGCAGTCAGCATGCCTAAGCTCTTGTGTTGTTTTTTTTTTAATTGTGAAAATACCATACAGAGGGGCTACAATTACATGGGCAAGGTAATGAGTACATTTCTTATCAAGCATTGTTGCCTCCTCCTTTGTTTCCTCTTCCCATCTTCCACCACCCCCCTCCCGCACCCCTCCCAGCCAAAGTTGTAAAGTTCATTTTTAGACATAACGTCTTGTACATATCATTGTTGCAATGGGTCCACCTGTATCCCCTCCACAAATTATACCAATATCACATGACATTGCCCCATTTGTTAGGAAATGGAAAGACTTGGAAAAATTATATTTTTATTTATTTATTTTTGGTCGGTTGTGGGGCTTGAACTCTGGGCCTGGGTGCTGTCCCTGTGCTCTTCAGCTCAAGGCAAGTGCTCTACCACTTGAGCCACAGTGCCACTTTCAGTTTTCTAGTGGTTTATTGGAGATAAGGGTCTCACAGACTTTCCTGTCCGGGCTTTGAACTGCGATCCTCAGATCTCAGCCTCCTGAGTAGCTAGGATTACAGGCATGAGCCACCGGCGCCCGGCTTGGAAAAAATTATATCAAGTGAAGTAAGCCAGGCCCAAAGAAACATAGGTCCCATGGTTTCCCTTATTTGCAATAACTAGTATATGTCTGAGACAAGCAGAAACAGTCAGATAAGTTGATGTTAGGCGAAATGAACCCCAAATAAGGACTCAAATGTTTTTTTTTTTCTTTCTTGCTATTGTTTCAAAAATATTTATAAGATGATTTCTTTGTTGCTTTGTATGTCCCTCCCCCATGGTATAACCCCTGTTTTCGCTGTATTTGAGGCACTGAGTTTGGACATACCAGTAGCACCACAGAAAAAGAAAGACAGGTATACAAGACAATAGCCTGGTTAAAAACAAAGCAAAACAGCAACAAAAAGCACTCAAGTAAGAAAGAAGCTCAGTGGTGTAAGCTTATGAAGTATATGAAGAAACATCTTACTGCGAAATACTGTCCAGAAAAGGGAATTCTGTTAGTAGGGGACTATGAGGAGCTTATAACAGTGTTCATCAGTGCAATTGTTTCAGTATCTGGCAGATACGAAGAACTCAACCATCATAAGGAAGTTCAAGTGTAATAATAATGATGACTTCTGTAGCCCTCTTAAATTTCTTCTTCCTCTGACATTGATATGGACAGTTAAACCAAGAAAAGAAAAGAAGGAAAGACCCACACATAGCTAGTATAAATACCTCAATGCCCTTGCAAACCCAAAAGTATCCTAGATAAGGTATGAGATATTTAATTCTAAGTCAAATGTGGAGCTTTGCTGTTTCAAAAAGCTAGACAAAGTCAATTAGTAAGCTGAGACTTTAATAATTATCACAAAATCAGAAATTAATTTTTCCCAATCATAAGGGTTGAATTTCCTCTACTGAATAGCTTTGAAGTTCAACATGTTGCATAAATCTAAGCCTGGCACCAGTGCTTATGGCTGTAATCCTAGCTACTCAGGAAGATGAGATCTGAGGGTCACAATTCAAGCCAGCCTAGGCAGGAAAGTCTGTGAAACTCTTACCTCCACTTAGTTACCAAAAATGCCAGATGGCTCAAGTGGTAAAGTGCTTGAGTCAAAAAGCTTAGGAACAATTCCTAGGCTCTGAGTTCAAGCCTCAAGACAGGCAAAAAATAAAAATAATTGTTAGTGTAATGAATAAACTCAAAAGTCCTTCTTTTTAAAGGTTTCAAATATTGGTACATGATATTGTTTGATATTTTATAGTATACTACAAAAAATGAGAGTCAGACCTACTAATAGCAGGTATTAACACCATCTAAGAATAATATATTACCGGGATGGGAAGGTGGCTCAGTGGTAGAGTGGTTGCCTTGCATGCCTGAGGCCCTGGGTTCAATTCCTTAGCACCACATAAGCAAAAAAAAGAAAAAGAAAAAAGCCGAAAGTGGAGCTGTGGCTCAAGTGGTAGAACACTAGCCTTGAGCTGAAGAGCTGAGAGACAATGCCCAGGCCCAGAGTTCAGGCCCCACGACCAGACCCCCCCACCAAAAAAGAAGAATATATTAGTTCAAAAGTCTAGTGACGAATAAATTGAAATCTAAAACTCTATAAACAGAAAAATATTAATATAATGTGAGGGAAAACAAAAAAAACATTTCAGGTGAGTAAACACTGAAAAAATTATCTCCTTGGGCCATTTCTGAAAAGTACTCAAGAAAATATTTTGGAATAGAAAAAAATTCATAAACAGTCAATCTTATCCATAAAACATCAATGGAACATCAGGGAAGGTGAACATGTCCTAGGATAGTGTACAAAGGTGTTTGGAAGGAAGCTCTTGTACCATGCATTTGAATATTAACTTTCCTTTCTATGGTTCTATAATCATAGTAGTTGAATTTGCATCAAATCATGCTTATTTAATGTACTCCATATGGATGTTGTTTTATGGCATAATTTTTATTATTAATTTACAAACAATATAGTAAATTCACTACAACTATAGAATATACAAATGATATAATTATTAAAATATACGTATTAATATTACTTCCATATTAATATTATTCCACAAGGGATTTTGGAAGTATCATCTAAAGGAATCACAGAAAATATATTCAAACTCTACCCTTTTTATATCTACAACAAGAAAAATAGAAGAAATATTAGCAAAAATGACTACTTAGTGAGGAAGATTGTTTAATTCTACTTCGACATTTTGTATGGCCTCAGTTTCTATGATAGTTTGGATGTTAAATATTTTAATGGATCAATAATGCATACATATGCAGTGTGTATGTCCTGTATTTTCATATAAAATCAACCTCATATTACTAATGTAGTCTTGCAAGATATAGACCCAACAATGATTATAACATACTACCAAGTGTAACATACTACTAAGTGTGTTCTATACATAGAACACCTGTGGTATACTATACACAGTATAGTTAATTTAGAATAATGATGTTATACTATGACATAGTATAATTAAGTTTTACTATGTTATACTGTTGTATACTAAGCACTATAGTATGCTACCAAGTATAATATCCTAGCACAATCACAGCAATAGTAAATGAAAATATTTCTGATTATATCACCGCCATCACCAAAAGAACCCTCAATGTTCATATGTCCTCACCTCAAATACCATAATCCATATATGAACACTTACTTTATTTATAAGAATTTTTCATTTAAAATAAATGCAAGATATAGAACACTATTGTAATAATTAGAAAGTTCCTTACCTTATCCAGGATTCTATGTATTTTTCATACCCAGAAATTAAACCCCTCACGTATTTTGTACAATTTTCTTTTTCAGTTTTGATTATTTTTGACAAAAGATGTTAATATAATTTTTAATCACTGGAGAAAATATTCACTACCACTCTTACTGCAAAGCAATGATACTAACAATGCAGTCTGATCCTTAACTGGTGCATACTTGTATTGCGTGATATATTTGAAAAGAAGACTACAGAAAGTTAGAAGGAAGGAAACAGAAGATGACAGATGATCTGGGAGTGATTTTTTTTCATACTCATGTACATTTAAATACAGTGAGCAGATTTGCTGCCATAACCATGATTAATAACCAGAGTTGCATGATCTATCTAGTTGCTAATATTTGTCATTATTCCCCTTGATAAACTAAGGGACTTTATAATAGATAAGTTCTAAATTCCTTTTCCATTAAAAAAAGTGTTACAAGTGAGTGCAAGGATGTAAAGATCTGAGTGTCAAGTAGGAATTAATGGAAACAAATAAATAGTATACCTTTGTGTTACCTTTCATCAGCATTTTACATTTGTTTTGCTCCCTGGCTGCACGAAGACATGCTTGAGTAGGACCTTCTGGCCTATTTTCCTTTTCACAGTAGTGACCAACTGCAAGATAAAACAATTTATTTATTTATTGTTATTGTTGTTGTTGTTCGTGGGGCTTGAATTCTGGGCCTGGGCACTGTCCCTGAGCTCTTCAGCTCTACCACTTGAGCCACAGCACCACTTCTGGTTTTCTCGTGATTAATTGGAGATAACAGTCTCATGGACTTTCCTGCCCTGGCTGGCTTTGAACCATGATCCTCAGATCTCATCCTCCTGAGTAGCTAGGATTTCATAATCAAAAATATTGCTTCAAGTAGTTATTTTTTTAAAAAGAGAGAAGGTCTACATTTTACAATGGTGAATGGTCTTGAGCATAAAGGAGCTCTCAGGAACACTGACTAGGACCTGAGTTCAGCTGACAAAAAATACAAATAATAATAAACTCCATTGTTAACTAGTTTTTAATTATCATAGCCTGTTAAATAGTTAATACAGTCTGCTGTTTTCTGTGTACTTTTTTCAAGTACTGGATTTCTCAGCTTTCTCCGTTACAACTTGAGCCAAATGTATAGTTCTGGCTTTTTTTCTATTATTTGGAGGTATTTTGCCTGCTTAAGCTGGCTCTACATCATGATCATCCTATGTCAATATTTTAAGTAGCTAGAATTTTAGGTATGAACATCTAGAGCATAAGCTGTATTTATTTTTAAATATCTCTAGGATGGTGGTCACTGGTAAGATTGAGAAATCATCCGATCAATCATAGAGATTTTAGACATTTTACCTTTACCTGTAATTATAGGAAAATGAACATTTTGGCCTGCATCTATGGTTTTCAATGTTGCTTGAAGTCCAGAAATCTAGTGGGGAAAAAATGAAACAAATATAACATTTGAATTAATGACTATAAAGCTTAAAATCAAACATGAACTTTAACAAAACAAAACATAATTTTTAGTTAAGATCCAATTTCATTCTGGATGTGAATTTCACACATACATTTCACAGTGTACTTCACTGAATCAAGAATCTTCACCACACATTTTGATAAAATATTGTATTGCAATTAAACAGAAATATATAACTTTTTCTATTACTGAATAGCACTATAAAAAGTAGCAGATAAATTATAACCAATATAATGTGATCATGAAATGCTTGGATTAAAAAATGTGAAGGATTGCTATCTGTTCTTACATGGCAAACAAATGGATTATAATTTTTCAAACAATCTTATTTAGAGTAATGAAAGGTTTATGAAGCAATTTCTAACATAGCACAGAGTTCTGGTATGTTGAACACATTGTTCCCTTGTTGTCATCACACATTAAGATGGAATATTGGTTACAAATAATAAACTTAATATCCATACACTATTATGAACTAACTTTTTATTTAATTATGTTTTCTTTTTTTTTAGGTTACAGAAGTCCAACCAGAATAGTACTATATAATAATCATTATGTTTCCCTCACCTACTGTAGACTGAGAGACACTTTCTTAGACTTTCCCTATTTAACTGGCTTTGAATATTTAGAGAAATACTGACCAGGTAGTATTTTGCTAATGGTCCTAATTTAGGCTTGCTTGATGTATTTTCAATGGTTAAACTAGAGTTGTGAGACTTTAGGATAAGAGAATACATTTATTAGCACATTGTATCACAGGCATGTGCTTAAGACTAAGGATATCAATCTTGATCACCTAACTTCAGTGTTACTTTTTTCTTTGTATACCTGTACTTGTGAAAGCAAGTCATGAAGTGCAGCCAACACTTAACTGCTGCGTGGTTAAATTTAATTCCTGGAGGGAAGGACTATCTACTGTGCCATATGGGGTTTTTTTTTTAATCAGACAGATCTGTCTATTCTCTACTCAATCATTTGTTAATATTATTGTGAAACCACAGAGATTTACTTTACACTTCAAATTATAATCCATACCAGTTCAAACTGTTACATATTTTAACCCTGAAGTCTTTTTGGTTGGAAATAATGAAGAATACAATATATCATTTAATAATTGACTACTAACTCTTTTTTCTTATTGTTATTGTCAAGGTGATGTACAGAGGGGGTACAGTTATATAAACCAGGTAAAGCATACATTTCTTTTTGAATACTGTCACTCCTTCTCTCTTTTTCTCCAAGTTTTTCCCTACAGATCCTCATGCCACAAGTTGTATAGTTCATTTTCAACATAGTGTCTAGTGAGTATCACTGCTGCATTTGTTCATCCACCATTTCTGTGACCCTCTTTACTCTCCCCCCAACATTCTCAGCTCTTTCTTTCCATATCACTGACATTAGGGCTAGCTAATAAGAACATCTCCTTAGACTTGGTAAAAGATCCATGCAGTAGGATTGCCACCTAGCTCAACCTAGGCCTAGGCCCCATCCATAATTTAAAAAAAAACCCTCAGGCCAGTAGCCTCCTTTCCATGATCTCACGCATTTCAGAAATGCTTAGGAGTATGTGCTTTTCTCTCAACTGAGCTTGGAACTAAAAGTTTTCATATCCTTCTGAGTGGATAGCATCATCATTCTCAATGTCTAAAGCAAATCTGAATGAGGAAGATCCATTTAACTATACAGGTGCATGCAGTGCCAAAACAGTTTCTTTTTCTAATGGCATTTCTAAACTGTTATTATATATGTAAGCAGTAGTACAGAAAACGCAATTCTGATAGAATTATTTTAGCTTTGTAAATATGTTTTCATTTTAGGTATATATATATATATATATATATATATATATATATATATATATATATGGATGTATGGATGTATGTATTTGTGTGTGTATCAATCATATGTATACCTATTTAGTAGATGAGAAAATAGACATTTTAAATGCCCTGATTTTTCACATAGCTAACTTTGCATAACTGTGAATCACCCATCACTCCCAATCCTTAACTCTTTTAACTAAACCAGTGAAGAAACAAAATGAAACCCAAAGATTTTATCTGTTTTAAGCATATTCTTCATCTGGCCATTGATCTAACCTCAGGAATCTCCCTTTTATTTGAGATATAAGAATTAAAGACATTTCTAGGAGGGTAAGTTAGCCATAATCACATACCAGCTAAGAGAATATTAAGTGCTGGAAGTAAAAAGAATGTAGTATAAATACCTCCCATGGATTAGATGTAAAGGATTAAGGAGATAAAATTTTGCAAATCAGACATATAAATGTCTTATATGATGATATAATAATTTATTCATGCTTAGAATTCAAACATTCAAGAACATAAAATTAAAAGTCAAGCCAAAAAGGCACCAAACAAGGGATGTTTTGTTTTTCAGAAGCTAAAAATTACACTGAAAACACACAAAAAGAGGCTAAAACATGCCTTAACAGTAAAATTACTAAAATAATAGTATTGCTATTATATAAGCTTTAATATTTTCTGGTCGGGCAAATTGAAAACCTCAACAAACAATAAAAGAACGTAAAGCTTAGTCACAGTATTATATTCTCTAATAAACATATATATATATATATATATAATGTAGTATAATATTATGGTTTGCTTCTTTAAATGCTTTGCCAATGATTCTATACCACTGTTCAAAATCTGAGCGAAGCCAGGTGCTGGTAGCTCATGCTTGAATCCTAACTACTCAGGAGGCTGAGATCTGAGGATAGTGTTTGAAGCCAGTCTGGGCAGGAAAGTCCATGAGACTCTTGTCTCCAATAAACTACTCAGAAAAAGCCAAAAGTGACACTAGCTTAAGTGGTAGAGCGATTGCCTTGGGTCAAAGTTGTTCAGGGACAGTATACAAGCCCTAAGTTCAAGCCCTAGGACCAACATACATCAAAAAGAAAGAAAAAGAAGGAAGGGGAGAAGGGAAGGGGAGAAGGGAAGGGGAGGAGTAAAGGGGAAGGGAAGGGAAAAGAGAGAGAAAGAAAAGAGAGAGAAAAAGAAAGAAAGAAAGAACTAAAGAAGAAAGAAAGGAAAGAAAGAAAAGGAAGGAAGGGAGGAAGGAAGGAGGGGAGAATAAAGAAAAGTAAATAACAAAAAATTTGAGCTAGCCTATGTGAAAAACCTGAGGGAAAAATGTAACTGTCGCTCATTAGCAAGATAAACACAAATTCACTCAACAACTAGGAATGTCAAGTATTCATATGGGAGACATTTCCAAGCAATTTTTATTCATTTTGTCCTGTTTCAACAATAATTATAAAGGTAGATTTTTATGGCTGCATCTTATATAAAATACCTCTGAGTTCTCAGTGCTTAGATAACTTGGCAAATATCAGTGTGCATAGCTGTCATTTTATATGTATAGCTTGGCATTTTAATCCAAGTGTATTTAACAACAGTAGCTGAAGGTTTTCTTTCAACTCTACTCTAATATGTTCCTATGTCTTTATGTTTCAGTTAAATACTATTTAATATAATAATCTGTATAGACTTTTAGATGGATAAAATACTTTTCTTAATTTTCTAAATGAGGTTTTATGGGAAAATTGGTAGATTGTTCTAAAATTTATCTCAGAAACAAAAGCCAACATTTCTACTTATGTTATAAAAATGATTAAAAACAATTTTTTTCCAAGGGTGCCTGAATTCTCTCTCCTCTCTTACCTTCCCAACAGCTCTGTCTCTTTCCAAGGAGATTAGCATTTTCTCCTTCAGCAAAGCCTGGTGCTTCTCATGTAACACCTTTATAGTTGGTTCATAAGATGCATAATGTAACTTTAACCTACAAATAGAAAAAGGTCACTTACGTCTTAAAAGGTAATAGAGTTAAATCAGTGAGTTCCATCTAACTTCTAAATCTTGTGTTTCTTTTCTTATTTCACTTATTTTTGGCTTGAGAATAAAAATGGATAACCATACAAAAATCAACACACAAGAGCCAAGAAGCACAGGAACTATTATTTATCATCAACTTCATTCATAACCAGGGGCTATAGGATGAAGGGTGGGAATGGCAAAACTATATTTGCTGTAAGTAGTTTCTACTTCCTTCTAGCACCTTTTGCTGTATTCAAGTATAAGCCCAGAAGATTACTGCTGTTCTTGGAGATTTGAGAAATTAGACTTTTTTAAATCAATGCAGAAATAACTTTCAAAAAGACAAGGACTACAAACAATGGGTGAATAAAGAAAAGGTATCATTGACACCATAAGAAAAGATGGCCAAAAAAAATAACAAGTATCTACTCAAGTGGCTCTATACTTGAATCATATCCCTACCCCCTTTATGCTTGGGTAATTTTTCAGAGATGGTCTCACATTTTTGCCCAGGGTGCAATTACAAGCATGATCATACTACCTAGGCCTTTCTTGGAGCTGTACCCATAGGCACACATACTATGCCAGTTTATTTTTTGAGATAGGTCTCACAATTTTTTTTTGTCTAGGCTTGTCTTGAACTGAAAAGTGCAATCTGTCCTATCTCTATTTCTTGAGTAGCTAGTGTTATAGGCATGCATCATTATGCCCAACTTGATATTCTATGTTTTGAATCATTCAGTATACAATGTTTATTTTAAGTCATTATTTGAAATGTGTTAATTCCAAAATATATGGGATAGTTCCAGAGATCTTTAGTTATTGGTTTCTACTGTAATTGGTTGTTATCAGAAAATGTTTTTGGATAACATCAAGTCTTTGAAATTTATAGAAGCTTCTTTAATGGTCCAGTTTAGTGAATATTCTATGCACATCTTAAAATAACATTGCTTGAATAACTTGAATAACATTCAAGCAATATTATTTATGTTAAACTGATGAAAAATGTTTTTCTATAAACAGGAAATTTGTGTGTATATTTTCTAATTATTGCGAATATAAATGTCCTATTATATAACTATGTTTTCCTCATAATTATATCAGATTTGGCATTAGCAGTTTTAAAGTACTTAGAGTAGTAGACAGTTTATGTTATATCTCCTGATGAACAGATCAATTTTTCAATATAAAACGTTGTTTTCATTTTATTTGGTCATATGTACATAGCTATTGAGCTATTCTATTCATCTGCTACAATTATCCTAGACATAAACATAAACTAATTATTACAAATGAGGGAAACCATGGGATCTATGTTTCTTTGGGTCTGGCTTACTTCATTTAATATGATTTTATACATGTGACCATATATCTAAGCAAAATGAACTCCAAGACAGGAAACATGGTTTATCCTTTTTGTGTTTTTTTTAAAATGTACTAAGCCATTTCTTCTTCCTTTTGTTTTCCCATTTTCCTATGGTTTATGCACTGTTGTCACAATATTTGATTTTGGTACCCTGGGTATTGTATTTCCATTTATCTGAATTAGGGAAGGGAAGGGGAACAACAAAGTGGTGAGACAAAGGCCAAAGGGCAAATCACTGCAACAGTGGCACAAGACAATACATTGAAAATGAACTGTACAACTTGGGTGGTTTGGGGGGAGGGAAAGTGTGAAAAAATGAGGGAGGAGGTAACAATTCGACAAGAAATATATTTACTACTTCTGTATGTAACTGCCCTTTGCTATACAGAATCTTTAGTTTGCTGTGAGCACATTTTTCAAGTCTTTCTTATTGTTCAGCCCCTAAAAATCTTCTCAGAAAGTTCCCCCTTATAGCAATGTTATAATGTTTATATTTCGCAAAGCACTTCTTTTAGATAACTGATTTAATAATAATAATAATGACAGAAATTAACTAAGAGTGTGACCTTTAGGGGCCTGAAGTGATAGTCGACTCAATGAAATGTCAACACCAGATGGCTCTGGCAGACAGTACAGGAAGAATCTCATAACACCATAGCATTTATGACCTATTAGAATACCCTTGCTTCTGCAGAATTATTTGATAGAGGATCCTTCTTAGAATTTAGAATGCTATCCTACCTAGTGAGGAGGCTGAGGTCTAAGGATTGCCATTAGAAGCCAGATCAGGTAGGAAAGTGCAAGAGACTCATCTCCAGTTAGCTACCAAAGAGCTGGAATTGGAGCTGTGGCTCAAGAGGTAGAGTGTCAGACTGGGGAATAAATACTAAATGACAGCACCCAAGCCCACAATCAGTTTGAGCCCAGCACTGACGGAAAAGGAAATTTAGAATGCTCAGTAAAAGAGGGAATAATATATATAAGGTGTAGGAAAGTAATATTGCTAAGCACAACTTCCAAAAAGGGTTGCTTCAGATGGAGTACTAGTTCTATAACAATTAATAAGACATGATCCAAAGTGAAGTTCCCCTAAGAGGACCAAAAAGTAATTGTATGTTTTTCTATTACAATATTAAAATTGTGGTTCTATTTTATACAAAAACTATTTAAATAAGAATATTCATAAAAGTCATTGATTTAAGAATATACATTATATTTCACTACTGACAGAAATAAAGCTTAATCATTAAAATACTAGAATTATAAATACATTTAATCTTATCAATTCAGCCATATTCAAAAAATAGAGTAACCAAAAATTTCAGGTAGCATTGAGTCCAATTCCATCCACAATTCTTCTTAGTCTGATTAACATATATATATATATATATATATATATAGGTATGTACTACAATTTACATTAATGTTACATATTTTTAAACACATAGGTATAGAATCTTTATATTCTAATTCATATACAGTTATTTTAAGAAAAATATTGATGACAAATTTCCCTTTTAGTATCTTTGGCTAACTCACTCATGAGATTAAAGTCACTACCAAAAAAGACTATATATTATAGCATGGAAACAACAGTCAGAAAAGCTGCTAACTTATTCTGAATGTGTACTTCTGTTTCATCAGTTTCATAAGTATTTCATATTTCCTTATTCATAATTTCTATATTGCATACTGGTATTTCTAAAAATAAATTCATAATAAAATATTCAGGTTAAATTGAATTTAAATTATAAAAATTAAATTATACAATGAGATTATCAATGTAAGCAAAAATTCAACATTTAGACATTTACAATTAAAGGAAAAGTAAAAACAAAATTGAAATATTTTAGTAAAATATGAAACTGAGAACTTAAACCAGGAATAAGAAAGATCTATTGTACTACTGTACAATGGCACAGTTACTAGAAAAGATATTCACTAGTGATTGATTGACATGATTGCTACCTTTATTGTGAATGGTCGACAGTATCTCTGGCATCTTATTTTGGTCCTTCGGAAACATGCATTAGTGATTTATCCACATAGCTAAATAAATGAATAACTTCTACAGATTACATGAGGAAATACAAGCTTCTTGAGTATTCTCCCCTGGTGCTCTCCAGATAATAAAATATGAAAAAATACATGATCTGAAGTAATTAATTGTATAAGAAATGAATTATAGTACTATTTCAATTAAGTATATTTAGATATTTAACAATAATGATACATTTTAAAATATAAATAAAATAAATAATAAAATATATAGTGGCTATTGTATCAGAGTGCACAGATACAGAGTTTTTGTCATTAGAGAAAGTTCTAAAGTTCTAGTAGGTAATACTGCTCAAGAATAAGCAAACAGAAGTTTAGTTAAGGATTAAATATTTTTTATTTCTTGAATTTTAGTGGGTATGAAGTTAAGGAGGGAGAGAAAGAAAATCTATGTTCTGTCTTCCAAATAATTTCTAAAAAGTGCTATCATAAAGTCAAGGCCATTTAAGATATGCCTCCTACCTACTGCCAAGCCTCACATGAGCTTTACTCCAAATGTACACAATCTGATGAATGGATTATGCTCCTTTATACAGTATGTATGTACCTACCATCTTCCAAGTGCACCCTAACTGATTCCACTCCATTCAATTGATTCATAATTATAATCTAGAACTGTTGACCTGAAAATATTCCTTTTTAATATATATTTATTGTGAAGATACTGTACACATGGGTTACTGTTACATGAGTAAGGTAATGAGTACATTTCCTATTGAGCATTGTTACCTCCTCCTTTGTTTTTCCCCTATCATCCCTTCCCTCCCCACTTTACCAACTCCTCCCTCCTCCACCCCGAAGTTGTAAAGTTTGTTTTCAACATAGTGTCTTGTATATCTCAGTGTTACAATGAGTCAACCTATATCCTTATTTCCGCATTTTGTTATTTCCCTTCCCCTCCCCAAATTAGAAAAATGTATATACAAGATGTAGGACACCAGAATCAAATACAGTGAAAACAGGCCCTGTAACGTTACAGTCTGGTTGAAGCAATTACCCTCTAGCTAATATAGCAATAATGCAGTATACTATGTTCTTTTTCCACCTAAAACTTTCTCTATTATACATCCCAGAACCTCTGGGTCTTTATGCATTTACTCATCCTCATATTTTTTGAATACATAGTATACTGTCTGTCACATACTTGATGTTCAATAATAGTTGAATTAATATTTACCTTTACAGCATCTGCCACTACCAAATTACTTAGTAGTAATTGAATAAATCTTTAACAAATATGCCAGCATATATTATCACTTACCCTTTGAGGTCATTAATCAACTTTGTTTTTTCTTGGATTGTTCGCTTATGATGCATTCGATGATAATCACGTTCTTTCTGAATTTTCAGCAGATTTTCTCTAGCTTTGCTGAAAAATACAAAAAAACTATCAAATCTAAAAAACTATTGTTAATTCCTTTCTGAAAATTTATTTACCCCTCAGTTAAAATCAATATTATAAATTCAAAAAAATTCCTGAAAAACAATACTATAATTCTCACTGAAAGATTAGGTACAACATAATGTGTATAAAATTTAAAATGTGTGAGAAGGTGGAAAATGAAATGACAAATTTTGAAACTCAACGTATGATTGATCTTATTTCACTTGACTAAATCAAAGTACAAATGTATGCTGTCAGAATACTTCCAAAGTACAATGCAACTACCACTAATGAAAATTTGTTTGAAATACATATAGCACAGAATGAATCACGACAATTATAAATAAAGGAGAAGAAAAGGAAGTATACTTGATTGTTTAGCATAGGTAATTGGAAAGGATTACATAAGTTTTGGAAAACCAAACTTTGCTTCTAGTAATTCATATAGAAGTATATTCTGTCCATTAATTAAATTACTCAAAGTAAGTAATACTATATTAGAAAGGTCATCGATGTTAGTTCTGTATTACAAAATTGTTCAATTGTATATATGTTTGCACATCCCTGGTTGCTAAAGCAAGTATGAGTTTTAAGTGAATAATGACTGGGAATGTTTTAGTAACCTCATAAAAGAAGTTAGTTACAGTATAATGTAAAATATCTAATGAAAAACAGTGTCTAGGTAATCTTGAAAATCTGACAAAATACTATTGCATGGAGATACTCACATCCTGAAAAATGATTCAATTAGAGCACTAATATCTCATGCTAGGGTTAGAATTGCTACATTCTTATGTGACATGGCAGACTTCAAAGCAAAATTAGGAGAAACAAGGGTCACTTCAGATTGATAAAAGGAACAAATTGAGAGAAACAGACAACATTCAGAGACCGTACAGACCCGACACAGAGAACTTATGAGTTTTTTTTTGTTTTTTTTTTTTTTGATCCGGTTGTGGGGCCTGAACTCTGGGCCTGGGCTCTGTCCCTCAGCTCTTCAGCTCAAGGCTAGCGCTCTACCATTTGAGCCACAGCGCCACTTCCGGCTTTTTTTTCTGCTTATGTGGTGCTGAGGAATCGAACCAGGGCCTCAGGCATGCAAGGCAATTGCTCTACCATGAGCCAACTTCCCAAGCCCAGAACTTATGAGTCTTAAAGATAGAGCCCTGTAACCAGGGCAACTCTACCATGAGTCAGAGCTGTCTTGGGAACCTTGGCAGGAATTATTTGTGCAAGATCTTGAAAAGTTTCAGCAAATCCAGAGCCTGAGTCTCTCTGGTGAAAGAACCACCTAGATGAAGAAAATAGCCTGTGAGCCTGGCACTGGTGGCTCATGCCACCAGCTACTCAGGAGGCTGAGATCTGAGGATCGCAGTTCAAAGCCAGCCCGGGCAGGAAAGACTGTGAGACTCCTATCTCCAATAAACCAACAGAAAACCGGAAGGGGCGTTGTAGCCTTGAGCTGAAGAGCTGAGGGACAGCGCCCAGCCCAGAGTTCAAGCCCCATGACCGTCAAAAAAAAAAAAAAGGGCTGGGAAGGTGGCTCAGTGGTAGAGCGCTTGCCTTGCATGCTCAAGGCCCTGGGTTCGATTCCTCAGCACCACATAAGCAAAAAGAAAAAAGCCGGAAGTGGCGCTGTGGCTCAAGTGGTAGAGTGTTAGCCTTGAGCTGAAGAGCTGAGGGACAGCGCCCAGGCCCAGAGTTCAGGCCCCACGACCGGACCCAAAAAAAAAAAAAAAAAGAGAAAATAGCCTGTGAGTTTTTGGAGGCCTGGAGTGGGAGTGAAATCACTCTAGTAAATTCAAGACTCCATGTCCTGGGATCTAACATAGGAACCTGCAAATAGCACCTGAAATCCATCTCCCAGTGCTGGATCCTGGCTCAGATCTTTACAGGTCCTGATGGGCCACTCTGCCTCTGACAGATGGCATTGATGTCTCTAAACCACGCATCTAACTATCTATACTACAAAAAAATCAGTTCTGGGTGGGAGAAGTTTACATCTTTCTTTTGTTTTCTTTATTCTTACCTCTTCTGTAGTCATTATATGAGAAACATATATCCACATTTTGAAATTCAATTTGCAACCATCTCTATCTACTATCGCCCTGTCCCATTTCTGTTTACCTTCTGTATTCAATTAGATTGATTCTCTCTCTTATTTTTCTTCTATTTCCCTCATCCAAAATCTTTCCTTATTCTCCATACTTTTGGCAGGGCATATTTGTCTTGTACTCTTTTTTCACTATACTTTCAAATGGATCTTTTCTATGTATTTCCCTTTTCTTTCTCATTAGTTACTTTAGCTACTTCTCTATTTATCCTTATTACACCATATACCCCTCACTATTCTTTAGTACTATTCCTCTTATTTCTTTACAATAGTAGCCAGCTTAATTAATGTCTTCCTTATCACAAAGCATTATCTTTGTTTCTTTATTTCTCTGGAGATAAAGGAACAATGTCAATGATTGTTATTAATTGGTGATTATTGTATTTTCACTCTGGTGTGTCTGTTCACCATGACTGCTTCTACACCTTAGTCTGCCTCCCTAGGAGAATAGAGGTGTAAACCTAGTGCTTTGTGAGAATAGTGGGTGAATGTTAGACAACTAAGCAACACCTTCAGTCCAATACTGGAAAAATACAATACAGCTTAAGTACTGTCCTGCCTTTCCTACACATTGTGAATACCTCATCTGAAAGAACACAAGACACTAAAACCTCCAAACAAAGACTGGTCTCTGAACAAAACAATATGTCTTTGCCAAAAGGAAATAATTCCAAAATAAAGCACTTGGATGATAGTAATGTGGATGAAATCTCAAGAAGCTGAAAAGAATAATGGTAAGAATTACCAATAAAATTAATGAGTAACTTATAAACAATCAAATGAATTTGAAGAAAATACAAACTGAATCACATAAGAAAGACAATGAACAAAATGAAAGAATTCAATAAAGGTACAGAAATCCTAAAAATATTCAATTCTGGAAATGAATCTCTCAATATTCAAATTAAAAAACCCTCAGGTAAAAACTTACTTTCAAGAAAGACTATGAGGATAAAGTACAGAAATTAAAAAATTTAGATAAAAGCAAATAAAAATGAGAAAATATAAACAACATATAAGAAAACATTAAAAAGAATACAAGCCTATAAATCATGACATTAGAGAAAATATATACAAGCTAAAGACACAGAAAATTTTTACTCAATATTACTCAATAGTAAAAACTTTCTACAATCTTGGAGGAAAAATGGATAACCACATATAGACTATATGGAGGACACTAAACAGACAAGATCAGAAAATCATCTCTGTACATTTTTGTGAAAGGTACTTTTATTTTCCTCTCTTTAGAAACAGTGCATTGATAATCATTTTAAAGTGGATTGTATAGATTTTGGCAAAAACATCATCCAAAATCTATGGAGAAGGATGTTAGTTCAAAATATGCCTCTCATTAATCCTATAACCTGGGACATGGGATTAAAAGCTTCTGAGTCTCAATTTCCTAGTATGCAAATTTTAAAATTATCATTTTCAAAGTGTTTCACACATTATTTAAATTATGTCAAAAAATATAATATGTGAAATAACAAACATATCTGAAATTATTTCTAAAGAATAAATAAACCCAGCGGGAAAAGGTCTGGCAGACACAGAATTATAAACTTCAAGAAAATAAGTGAATGATAAAAGCAAAGGAATTCTACCTTTAAGACTTTGTCAGTACTACAATAGATACAAAAGGGAATCTAACACATAGAAAAGGAAGATAAATGCAACCAGGTAAAAAATAGAAAAAGAATGAATCACAGTACATGAATAGAATGCAAATAAGGATGGAAAAAGAAGTAAACATCACACACAAAAAAAAAAGCCAAATGACCAAATGAGAGGAATCCCTGCATATCTTTCAATTATAGCACTGAATGTCATTTGTTTCAGGTCTCTAATCAAAAGACACAGTCTACTGGGCTTATTGCCTAAAAGAAATGCATTTCACTGGCAAAGAAAAATAGACAAAGTTAAATGATGAAAAAGTTATAAATAGAGCCTCAGAGCAGGCAGGAATACAAACCCTTATCTGACAAAGTAGATTTCAAAGTAAAATTATCCAGAATAAATAATAAAAAAAGTCACTTCATAATGATAACAGAATTTCCAGTAGGTGAAAATAATTATAAATATGTACTCATTCAGTGTCAATGCAATCAATTTCATAAAATAAACACTACTAGACACCAAATATAGATAGACACTAGCACAATTATAGCCAACTTTTATAACCCACTCTACCCATTACATGGAGATTCCGCAAATAAACTTCAGAAACATCATCAACAACAAAAACTACAAAATTACGTCCTATAGAGCCTCGCCAGTGGCTCATGCCTGTAATCCTAGCTACTCAGGAGGCTAAGAACTGACCATCAGGGTTCAAAATCAGCCAATCAGGGAAATCCTTGAGACGCTTATCTCCACTAAACCACTCAGAAAACCGAAAGTGGCACTGTGACTTAAGCGGTAGAGAGCTGGCCTTGAGCTGAAGACTGTAGGGACAGCACGCCCAGGCCCAGAGTTCAAATCCCATGACCGACCAAAACAAAAAATTACATACTATAGAATAAATGGGATCAACACACATCTATCTGTAGAGACCAATTCATCATAAAGGTGTACCATATACAATCTACTGAGCAGCATGCAGAATTTTCTCTAAAATAGATCATGTTTTAAGACATAAAGTTTAAGCAAACATAAGAAAATTGAACTGATTTACTGTATTATATCAGGCCACAATAGAATAAAACTAGAAAACAATAACGAAAGAAACTACAGAGAATATTCGAATATATAGATCATGAAAAAAAATGTGGAAAATAAATAATCCCTTTAATCAAATAAAAATGAAAACTTTCCTATCTTTTGGAATATAGCAAAGACAATAACATGAAGTAAGTGTATAGCTAACAGT